CCCCCAGTCCCCAGCCCCCATGCTTCCCTGGTTCCACAAGGCTGCCGGCACAAAATGGCAGCCAGCAAAAAGACCAACGGGAAGCAATGACTCCCCTGGGTCTTAGTGCTCAACCACTCCCCTGTTCCTATTCCTGCACTCACTCTTAAAGGGGACATGCTGTTTTAATGCTGTCTCATTTTATTTTACTTTTTTTTTTTTTTTGCTCAACAACTTTGGTCTCCCCCCCCCATTTTTTTTTCAACTGAATTTTTTCCCGTTGTTTTTTTTTTTTGGCGGGAGGGAGGGGCGAGTGTTCGGTATTTTTGTTTCAATCATCTGGCATCCCTAACTGAGGCCTGTCCTAGCCAGCGGTGCACAAACCCTGGCACGCCAGTAGTCCAGGCCCTGCAGGCGCCAGTAGTGCCTGCCGAAGTCTAGAGAGGCAGGGAGAGCAGAGGGCATGGTCAGAGTGGGCAGGATGCTGATGGAAACCTGGGCACGCTGCTGCGTCCCACCCTGGAGTAGGAATCAGATGCCCCGGTGCCCTGGCGGCAGTAACGGTGCCCCACTAGCCCACGGGGCACATGGCCATGTTCAAGGAGAACACGCAGTGCGCCAGGCCCGCTGGCTTGTGGCTGGTTGTGCTGGCCGCCAAAGCCTCCCTTCTTACAGAGCATGTGGCGCCCATGTCATTTGGAGCATGGGGATACTGAGAGCATCGAATCCAGCCCTCACCCAGAATACAATGGAAAGCACAACCTGCCTCCCCTCGGCCTCCGGGCCCAAACGCCCCTGGATTTCCGTGCAGCCAGACGGCTCCCTCGGTGGCCAGCGACTGCTCACGCTTTGGGACGTGCAGCCAGGAGTGGCCAGCTGGTTACTTTTTGGGGCAATCCATGAGCAGGCATTGAATTGTCAGCGTCCATAGCTCTTACACCACCTTCGCCTTCCAGCCCCTCCGGAGGCCCGGGGGGGACTGGGTTAGCCACAGGCGCCGTATTTCGTTCTGAGGCAGAGCCAGTCCGCGCTGACCCAGCAGGCTTTGCAGCCGTAATGTCCCGGCTCCATTTCGGAGTCATTCTCGCTGGCCCTGTTCATGGCTGTTTCCTTCTGTCCTGGGATGGTCTGGACACTGCTCAGCCTGTCTCCTACGTCCCTGGGCCCAGCACTAGCCAGCCCGTAGCCACTGCTGTCTGGGTCTGCCTTGCTTCCACCGGGCCAGCCTCAGTCAGGCTCTTTCAACACTATTGGGCCAAGAGGCCAGGGGCCCAGGAATTGCTTCGGGCAAACGTTTTGCAGGCTAAGGTCTCCGAGATGGAGACCCCACTCTCAGAGCACCCTGGGGTCAGGCACTCAGCCGCCATGGGAGAGACCCAGCGTCACATCCCCAGCTGTCTGAGCTCAGTCTCCCATGGCCCAGCTGGGTGCCAGTCTGCTGGCCTGAGGAACGTTAGCTCTACCGAGTGGAACAGGAGCTTCCGAGAATTGGGGCTGACTCGGACTGGTGGCTAGAAGGCAGGAGATGCAGGTACAAGTCTTGGCTGGGCTCAGGATCTGAACCACCTGGCCATCCCGGGGCTCCTCTCTGGGGCCCTCCCATGTGTGGGTGCCCGAAGGCCTGGGCTGGGCAGCGCTTTGGCTTGCTTTGTGCCGCCGACTTGGTGTTCCAGCCAGCCCTAGCACAGGGTGGCCCAGACCCTTGGGAGCAGCCTGGTCCTGCCGACCGCCCCCACTCCGCTCAATGGCCATCTTCTGCCTTTCGGCTTGGCAGAACCACCCCCAGGCCGGGGGCGGGGGCCTCCACGAACACACCACAAACCCGCCTCAGCAGCCAGGTGAAACACAGCGCCCTGGGTCACCACAGGAATGCACCCCGGGCAGGCCGTTACCCCATGGCTACCACGGCACAAGGTCGGGGGGTGCCTGGGCCGGAAGGAACAAGACGCAGGGAGGAACGAGCTGCTGAGGGAGGTTGTGGAATCCCCATGACTGGAGACAGACACTGGTAGGGGAGGGTCTAGATCAGTGTTTCATGCCACACCAGCGTGCTGCGGGGCAGTCGGAGGTGTGCCGCAGAGAACAGAATTCAAAATGGCCACCCTTAAAGGGGCAGGCGACTTTTTTTTTTTTTTTTTATTTCAATAACTTTCCCCCTGACCCTTTTTCCCCCCAACCTTTTTATTTTTTTTTGCTCAACAAAAAATCCTTGGTGTTCCTCATAAAAAAAATTGTTTGGTGTTCCTCGGTCTTCAAAAGCGTAAGAAACAGTGATTTCAATGGTGCTTGGTCCTGCCATGAGGGCAGGGGACTGACTCGAGGGCACCTCGGGGTCCCTTCCAGTTCTGTGGTTCTTGGAGGCTGAGAACCCAGCTGTGTCTGTGAATCTGGACTTCCGGTCGGTGCTGGGCGGGCGTTCAAGGCCACAGCCCAGTCCACATGTGCGTTACAGAGGTGCTGTGGCGCCATGTCCCTCCACTCCCACAGCAAGGACCGATGGGGTTTGGTCCCCCTCAGACATCCCCCCTCCGTTGGGCTACTTCTCAGGTGAGCTTGCGACTCGAATGCAGCCCTTTGGCCCCAGCACAGAGGCCAGGCTGGGCCGGGACCACCTTGACCAGACGAACCCGCTCCCAGCCTGTGTGTTGGCCCGCAAGCGCCGCCCAACGCGTGACCTGCCTCTCTCCACAGGAGGACCAGCTGAGGTCCCATGAAAGCAAGATGAGGCAGATTGCGGACGAATTAACGGAGCACAAGCTGCATCCTGTGGAGAGAAGCCTCAAGTCGAAAGAGGCTGAAGAATACAAGCTGAAGGAGCATTATCTAACATTCGAGGTAAGGGAGCGCTCGCCTCTCCTATGATAAATCAGGCCAGGGAGGAGTCCAACAGGAGCTGCTGAGCCTGGAATGGCTCCTCTGTGTGTGTGTGTCCATGTGTTTAGGGTGTGTGTGCGTGTGTGTGTTCATGGGGGTGTGTGCGTGTGCGTGTTCATGGAGGTGTATGCATGTGCATGTCCATGTTCACAGGGGGGAGATGTGTGTGTGTGTGTTTCCATGTTCATGGGGGGTGCACATGTGTGCGTGTGCGTGTTCATGTGTGTGCGTGTGCGTGTTCATGGAGGTGTATGCATGTGCATGTCCATGTTCACAGGGGGGAGATGTGTGTGTGTGTGTTTCCATGTTCATGGGGGGTGCACATGTGTGCGTTGGCGTGTTCATGGGGGTGTGTGCATGTGCGTGTCCATGTTCACAGGGGGGAGATGTGTGTGTGTCCATGTTCATGGGGGGTGCACATGTGTGCGTGTCCGTGTTCACGGGGGCGAGACGTGTGTGCATGTCCGTGTTCACGGGGGTGCAGCAAAGCCCATGTGCACAGACGGAGCAGTATGTACTGACAGTAGTGGTCTTTTCTGAAATATTTAAAAAAAGGATTTTCCATAGTAATTTGTAAACCCCACAAAAACCAGAGAACTCAGCCCCCAGCCCGCTGTCCTGGCGCCCGACCAGTCCCTGTCCTGCCGGAAGGAGGCAGTCTGACCCCCTGTCCGGGCCAGAGAGGGGCTAAGGTTGGCTTTACAGGACCTGTGACTCTCCCAGTCCTGGATCTAGCTCGGGGTGGGCAAATACCAGTCTGCAGGCCAGATCCGGTCGCCAGGTTAGCCCCTGGCTGGCCACCACATTATCCACTTGCACCTCCGCAGGCCCAGGTGATCGCAGCTCCCATTGGCCCTGGATTGCCGTTCCTGGCCAATAGGAGCTGCGGGAAGCAGTGTCCCGGTCCGTGCCACTTCCCTCCACTCACATGGGCCGGGATCAGTGATCCGCGGCCACGGGAGCTGCGATCGCCCGTACGTGCAGAGGGGCAGGCAAATGAAGCGGCGTCAGCCCGTCGGGGCTCACCTGGTGAAGCGCCGCTATTTTATTGCCCACTCCTGGGCTAGCTGCACTAACCTACACAAGCCAGCAGCCCCAGGGACTAGTCAAGAGCTGCATATAGGAACCCACGGCCCCGCCCACCAGACGCCAGCACTGGACAGGAGGAGAGACAGAATTGCTGCCGCAGGGATCTAGGCTACCTGCAGAATCCACCTCCCCGGAAGGGCCCACAGAGCCTCCAGCCAGTGGCAGCGCTGGGACCAGCCCCCAGGTCGCGTAGCCCCGCGTACAAGCCACTAGGCCCACAGTGGCAGGCCCAATGCCAGCTGGCTAGGTGGAAAAGGACACACTTCCCTGTTGCTCCAACCCGCGGCCCTCAGCTTTCCCCGGCAACGGTTCCCCATTGTGCTTCGCTTTCCACGCCACTGGAAGCGACTGGCTTGCAGACCCAGACAAGCGCCGCGCCCATCCCGAAACCCGGCTGCCGGGCTCCTCTGAGCCCAGCTTCATACATCCGTCGGGACAGAAATATCGTCCTCCCCTTGCCGCGCGGAGTGGAGAGTGCCCCACGCGCATGTCCGGGGCTGGCACTGGAGCTGGTCCTGACTCTGCTCCTGCGTTGCATGGAGCCTGCTAAAACTAGGCAGCTAGCTAGATGACCTCCACGTACCCCCAGGGCACCTGTCCTGTGCTTAGAACCCCTGGCTTACCCGTTCAACTGCGCTGATGGGTTCTCAGATGGCAGGGGCCTAGCAGGGAACAGGCCCTGGAAGGATACCCCACATCGCTAAAGATGCCCAGAGGAGGCGCGGGGTACTGAGCACTTGAGAGTGACATTGGGGTGAAGAATGGCCCGTCCCTGTCTGAACGTACTCCCCACCCCCCCACCCCCCCCACGCAGGGAGCCGGGGCTAGGTACCGGCTGGGGAATGTCTCCCTCGGAGCACGGTGCTCCAGTCTGGCCAGCTGGCGGAGATTCGGACGGTCCAGCAGCTGCCGGGAAGCCGGTCTGAGATGCAGCAGGACTTGCGTGTCACGAGGGACCGCAAACACCGACCTGAGCTAGCTTTGAAATGCCGTATGCTGCACAAAAGCACGAGGAGCAGCCCCTCCTTTGTACACCAACGTGAGAGGGAGCCGGGGCGGCCCGAGGCGGGCTGCCGGCAGCTGGCGCCCCAGGCGGAATGCGCGATCGGCGCCCCTGCCTCCACTGCCCTCAATGGTGTTTAACGTGGCACCCTAGGCGATGGCTGAGTCAGCCTATACGCACGGGCCGTCCCCAGAGGGAGCCGCTAATTGCGGGGAACCAAGTGTCGGGCCCACAGCTCAGTCCCACATTGGCTTAGAGCTCGTGTTTCTTCCTGCCGCTGGAGGTGACTGAGACCAGAAGTCAGAGGCAGGGTCATCTCGCTAGGAGCCCCAATCCCACTGTGATTCCCACTTTGCTTATGTACCGCAAGGTTCAGTCAATCCATGTTGTCCACCTGCCTGGGAGCAAAGGGGTTTGCCCAGTGCATGATGAGGGGTGACTGCAGCTGGTTCTTCAGCGTTCTCAGTACATCTGTGTCTTGTGCCTTCCCTGTTACCCGCCTGCTTGTTCTGTTCTGTGTCCCCCTGCAGAAGAGCCGCTACGAGACGTATATTAACCTGCTGTGCGTGAAGATCAAAGTGGGGACGGACGACCTGGAGAAGATCGAAGCCAGCCTTTTCCTGGTGGAAGCTGACGACGTCTCCTTGCGGAAGACACATTCCAGCCCTTCCCTGAGCCAAGGACACCCGTGCTTGCCCGGCAAAGGGGAAAAGGACGCTAGAGCGCAGAACACTTAACAGGTCACTCTGGTGCGGGAGACACCAGTCGGCGAGGCTCGGAACTCCTTGACTAGATCGATGAGCACAATTCTACCTAGGAAACCACGCGAACAAAACCGGTAGCCGTACGCGCCGTGGAGACGGATCCAGCGAACGAAATCGAAGAAGCTTTAGTTCACTCGTGGCTGATTCCCCCACCCCCACCCCGTGCCCTGACATTTCAGCGTCATTGACTGTTTCCTCCTCACGTCTGTCTCCCCATCAGTGTTTCTTTCCCTCCTGCTCCCTGTGTGCGTGCAATAAAGGGACCCGTTCTTTGTACCAGGGCTGGGCTGCTCACTCTCCAGCAGCTTGCCCCTGCATCACCGACGTTTCCAGACTGCTGCCACACGGAGACACGCCCGGCTCTCGGGGCCTCGGATCCATCCCTTGCAACAACCCGCAGCAGGCCTGCAGCACCAGCAGCACTTACGACCACACAGCAGGAGGAAACACAACATCGAGGAGCAAACCTCTCCCTATTGCAATAATACAAGTCCAGCAGGGTATTTACTGAGGCGCACGGGGTGGCATCACCATGCGTGTGCAAAGAGCGATCTGTGCACGGCAAGCGTGAGCTCCCGGGCACTGTTGCTTGGTTTTTATACATATAAAAGATATATAAATAAATATATATAAGGAAACGCTACAGTGGGTTTGAAAGGTGGCGTCAAAGTTACAACACGGCGAGGGCGAGACGGCTGGGAAGGCGATTTGAGGCTACAGGGGTCTTCGTAACGTAGCAGAACGTTGGGTTTTTTTTAAAAATGCAGTTGCCTCCATTTTGGTTTCCATTTGCAATGCAATCCCCTTTGGCTTTGCTATTGGCGCTTACTGAACTATCCCGCCTCCCCACTGCTTCTTTTGTGTCCGTGGACGGAGGCCCCATCGGAGCAGCTGTCCTGCAGATACGAGCTTCGCTACACGGCCGGGGCAGGGGGAGCCGTAACTCCTGTCCAGTTGTATTGTACTTCCTCCATGTTGCTATGAGCCGGCTATACTCTTTCAGCGGGATATTGTGTTGCTGTTTCATGCGGTTGTCTGTGGTCCGATGATTTGCTGTTGTAATAGAAACGATCCCACTGCATTTCAGATGCCTGAGGCACTTTATTTATTTATTTTCGTTAGGTTTTTTTCTAGGCATGTTCACAGTAACCAAGTTCCGGTTTTCAAGGATCTTGTAGCTGCTAGTTACAGCAATTTACAGTTTATATTTTTGCAGCTTTTTTTTTTAAGGGGCAAAAAAAAAGATTTTTGTTTGGACCCTTGTCCATTTCGGAGGGTTTATAGACTCTTGGGTTTTCATGATGTTTCTTACCGCGCATAACACCTCCACCCAATTTTACCTCTTCGTTTACCTCACCTCTTCTTTTGGTCTCTCGGTTTCTTTGTACAGTTTGATAGTTTCTTTGAAAGGACGCACTAAGAATCATGTCAAATGAAGAAATAACAATAAAGCTGAATCGGTTGATAAAGGGATTTGGTCTAAGTCCATTTCTCACGGCGACGTGTGCATTGCCACGACGTCCAGGGTCTCCCCGGGTACCGGATCCTTGAATTTCGACCTCATCACGTGGCCACGCGCCGCACGGTGCCCCTCTGGACGGAAAACTCCCTTTGTGTAGCTGCGAATCCGGCCTCATTGGCGAAAGTCCCATTGGCGCCAGGTTTTTCAGCCTCGGCGGGTCCTGCTGGGGCGGAATCACACGGGGTGAGGGCTCTAAGAACAGGGCACTGCGCTCAGCTGGGGAGGAGGAAGCCACTGGCTTAGGGCGGGGTTCTCACCTGGGGCGTGATGACAGATGTGAACTAATCGGGAATGGTGGGGGGGGGGGGAGTTAGTCACCCGATTTTTCCTTCCGTTGGGGAAAAAAAAGGGTTCCCAGCCCGGTGCTTGAAGGCGTGACCTGAGCGCAGCCGGGGGCCACCCTGCTCGCCAGTCTCAGGCCGCCTGTACCAGGAGCTCAGGAGTCCTCCAGCGAGGGGCAGTCCCCAGAGGGGTGACAAGCCGGGGTCATGGTGCTAGCTGGAAAGTGGGGTCACAGGGAGACCCTGGCTGGCTGGAAGGAGTTCGGGGGGGGGCAGTAAGGAAAAGTTGACATCCCCCCCCTCGTGCAGCCAGCCCCAGGGAGGGGTAAAACCCTGCTCGCTGCTGGCGTGACTCTCTAGCTGGAGCACGTGGTGCTGATGCTGCAGGAAGTGGCCAAGCCCCCTGGGGAGGGGATATACAGCCATGGGGCAAGTGTGTAGCCAGCTCCAGCCGGTACCCGGGCCTGTTACTGCCTGCCACAGAACAGCCGTATCTCTCTCTCGCTCTCTCTCTCTCACACACACACACACACACACACACACACAGACAGACACGGCTCCGGGCAGAGAGCCCCAGCAGAGTCAAAACTCCACCTAGACACGTGACTTTGCCGTACACCGGCAGCCCGTTGTTAGAGCGACCACGCCGCGGAACGCAGCGGCCGTGCCCACGGCGCAGCCCGAGGTGTCCTGCCACCAGCCGCGGCTCAGCACCGAGGTCAGCGAAGCCAAGGCACTCGTGCGGTGGCTGCAGTTTTGATCAGCTACTCGGGTTCCCACGTCTGCAGCGCACAAGGAGCACGTGCAAGATCAAGGGCAGTGTGTGTTATCCTCGCCCGGCCTAGTCGTCTTCACCTGAGCATGGGTCCATGGATGCCGGTGGGCCAGTGTGTGGTCCCTCGAATCTTTTCCATCAATGTGTGGAATAATGTTACATGCACTGAGGCAGGCATGAATGTGCACCACCAGTAAAAGCAACACCCAGCTGCAGGTGCTCTGCTAATCAGTGGGGCAGCTTTGGGATCTCTCCCGAGGGGCCGCCCAAGCGCCTGGCCTCCAGGGAACCCTGCTCACCATCTCATGTCCCAGCAGCCACCATATGATAGCGACTTGCAGCCTCCTACTCATCGGGACGCAAGGAAAAAAAAAAGTTGGTGGCAAACAGCTGTATGTGCCCAGTCTGGATGTGAAATGTCTAACCAGTCATGCTACCAGCATGGAGGAGTGTGACCTAAGAGTTAGGGTCAATGTTCCCTTTAAATTTTCCATCTGTGTACAGAATACATTTTACGTTGTGCACTGAGGCATGTGTGAATGTGCACCACCCACAGAAACATTCTACAGGCTGTGGGTGCTCGGCTATTCAGCTGGGTGGCATTTAACTCTCTTCTGGGCTGCTGCCCAAGCACCCAGCTTATAGGGGACACTGGTTAGGGCTCTTCCGTAGGAATTCAGGGAGCCGGGAATGCCCACTCTGCTACATACTCACCTTATGACCTTGGCAGTGCAGTTTAGTTTCCCCCCGTCCTGATTCCCGGATGGTGCAAAGGAGAGAACCGCAGGGCCCGGCCGCAGCAGGGTCGAGTGAGGCTAAATGCATTAGTGCTCCAACAGTAAGGAGCCGGCTCGTGCTCTGTGTGCAGGGAGGCAGCTGGCGGGGAACACTAACAATCCGCCCAGTGCCACAAACCCAATGGCCCCACGAACGGGGCGACATCTGGCTCCCAGCTGCTGTCCCTGAGCGGCGCGGGAGCACCTGGAGCCGAGCCGAGGGCCGGTCGGGGCCGCAGGGCCTGGCTCGTCAGTCTGACGGTGAAGAACAGGCGGCGCCGGGGCTGCTCTCCCGGGGCGAATGCCAGCTCGCCTCTGCTGCTGTGGCCACTGGTGTCCAGCGAGGGGCTGTGCTGGGCCTGTTCCCCTCACGGCCGAGCCCCCCAACAGTCACCCTGCCACGCAGGGCTGGGCTTGGGCTCGGTCTCACAGCCGGGGAAACGAGGGGCAGCCAGCACAGCCCCCGTCTCCAGCTTACACCCCACCCGCGGGCGACGCCCCCTCGCTGAGCAAGCCCCATTCCCGGGGGTAGCCGGAGCTGGAACCGGCCGGCCCAGAGCTCCCCTCGCTGGCCCAGGCGTAAATCCGGTGCTCTCCGGCCAGCCCTTGCAGAAGCCCCCGGCGCCGGCCAACAAGCAAGACCCCGCGTGTGGCAGACAAGGCGGGTTGCCGTGCACGGGGTTCGACGTGTCCGAGCCATCGCACGGATGGAGTGAGCCGTGCGTGGGGCGTGCACGGGCCCCCCCCGGGCCCATCGCCAGGCAACGTGCCACTGGCCGCTGGGAAAATGCGCAAGCGGAGTCACCAGCCCTGTGCCGGGGCGACAGTTTCCGGCCACGTAACGCCATTGCCCATTCGCTTGGGGTGGGGAACCTGAGGTCCAGGGCTCGGATGTGGCCCCCCGGCGTGACAGGATCTAGCCCCTGCATTGGCGTGCCAGCCCCTCCCCCACTGCTGTCCCAAAATCTACCAGCCCGGGCCCCCCGAGGCTCTGGTGTGGGAGGGGACCGTGGGGAGGGTTTTTCTCTGTCAGGAGCCACGCCAATGAGGGGCTGGACTTCTCACTAGTCTGCGGCCCCCGACTGATTTTTCTGTGGGTCAGGGACCCCCCTGCCCAAAATAGGTTCCCCACCCCGCTTTAGCCAAGCTGTTCCTGGCGGGGCCAGCGTCTCAGTCCCATTCTCTCCTCGGGCCCTGTCACAGCTCCAGAAGGCCCCTCGCCGCAATCCGACGCCAACACGTGGAAACAGAATACGGCACCAAAGGAGAGAGAGACGTCAGGTGCCATGTTTATGCCTCTCTCGCCTTTTCCAGACACCCCTTAGCGCCTGAACGTGGCGGCTCGAGGCGGAGGGAGGGAGCGGCTCAGTTCGGTCCGATAGGGATGTGACCGTGTAAACGTGGACACGTGGACATTACGACACTCACCTGGAAGGCCCCGGAGAGCCCATCACGGCCAGTCCCTGCCCCCCGGAAGCACCAAGCACCGGCTGGATCCGGGGTGGGCAATGAGTCTTGGCGAGGGGCCACGTCAAGATTTTGGAAGGTGGTCGAGGGCGGCACTTTTCTGTGGAGGGCGCAGGGTCTAGGGTGGAGGTTGGGCACAGAAGGGCGCACGGGGTAAGGGAGTGGGGGGCAGGAGACGGTGTGAGGTCTGAGAGGGAGTTTAGGCAAAGGAGGGGGTTGGGATCTGGGTCAGGGGATAGGGGTGTAGGGTCAGGGTGGGGCTTTGGGGGCAGGAGTGGATTCTGGCCTGGGGGAGGGGCACTGTGGAGGGCGCAGGGTCTAGGGTGGAGGTTGGGCACAGAAGGGCGCACGGGGTAAGGGAGTGGGGGGCAGGAGACGGTGTGAGGTCTGAGAGGGAGTTTAGGCAAAGGAGGGGGTTGGGATCTGGGTCAGGGGATAGGGGTGTAGGGTCAGGGTGGGGCTTTGGGGGCAGGAGTGGATTCTGGCCTGGGGGAGGGGCACTGGG